CCCCAAAACCCCAAAACCCCAAAACCCCAAATTTGCATCGAAATATTGCAATATAATTAATATAAAATGAGAAAAACTCCTACCATCCAAAAAAGAGTTGATAAGGTAGCCAGAAGTATCGCTAAGAGTTGCTACCCAGGATTCCTTAATTTTGACTTAAAAACTCACCAGCGATGCTCAGTTTATGCTTGATCTCATAAAAGGAAGAAGAAGTAAGTTAAGGAATTATTTATCGCATTAATTTTAATCCTAATCAGACTGAGGAGCAATATAGGGCTGGATCCACATATACTCCGAAACCACAGCTAAGCGGGAGTTTTAGGATCCCTAAACAATCAGTTGATTTATTACCAAAGAAGTATCTTTCTGTCTAAGATAATAGAAAAATAGACATTAATAAGGCTAACTTTTTATAACCCTGAAAAGTACAGACAGAATGCAGTATAATCCAAGTTTGAATACGACAATTAATATTCAGGGTAGGATTAACGCTTATAAATTTATTTAGAGAACGTGATGATTCAAAAATTGATGGATAAATATAATAGAAAATTTAAGAAGATTGATCAAAGTGATGAAACTCAGAATAGCTGAATAACCTCTCCTTCCAGACCTCTGAAGAAGAGAAAGACCAACATGGAAATCTCCATTGAGAAAATGGCTTGTAAAGAAAGAGGTGAAATACTCGAAGAAGAGCATCGCCTCGAGTCTGAGAAAATAAAACAGAATATTATTGAGCAAAATAATAATATAAATAAGGCTCTACCCAGGTTTAAGCCAATTAAGAGTGGTATACAGAAGAAAAATAAAGCTATTACTAATAAAAGAGGCAGCTTATCTGAAGAAGCTGATGATATAATTGCTCCAAGATTGACCCACTCTCCTGAATTTAGAAGGTCAGACAGGTTTAGGAGTCCTAAAAAGCATGAAAGAAAAGGAATGACTCCTACCGTTTCAGAAATCAGGTCAAAGACGCACCCTAAAATAGCAGCTAAATTTAATCAACAGGGTAATTTCAGGATGAAAAATTTCATCGAATTTTTAAGCATCTATAAAACTTTATAGTGTAAACTTTCCTACTATTAAATTTTATTTTGTGATTTGTTAACCAAATTTAAAATTTGCACTTTTTAACTATAAATTTAGAAAATAATGAAAATGCTTACTATAACCAGACTCTTCAGAGTATTGAAAATAGAGAGTCGACTAATGGAATCAAGGTTCCTCATCTAACAAAATTGCAGATGGGTAATTTAAAAATCTCCAAAGGAGATACAACCCATAGCTTCTTTAATATGAATAGTAAGACAAGTTATATCTCTGAAGAAAGTATGTCAAATAGCCAAGACTCTCACAGTAAGGTTAAAATTAAGAGATCAAAGAAATCAGTTGTCTCCCCAAGATTTAAAAATCTCTCAGAGAGAAGACCTGAGAAGAATGTAACATTTTATGAAGATATGCTCAAACAAAAGAAATCTAAGGGATACACTTCAAGGTCTGATTTGGGAAAGAAAAAGCTCAAACTTACAGAGAGGGCCCAACAAAACTTAGTCGAGTCGAGGAAAAACAACCTCTTCGAACTTTTTAAGAAGAACAAATAAGATAGGATCTCTTTTCCATACTATTATTGATGGCAAATCTCAACCTCCAAGTACTTCTGCAAGTGAGTATGCTCCAAAAATCGATATATGAAAGCTGAGGCCTGAGAAAATTAGCAATAATCTAGATGCCATCACTCTTGACGAATCTTTGCTTTCTGCAGAATCCCTTAGGTTCTTGAAAATGGGTAGAAGGAAGAGCATCTCAATGACAAATTCTATTCTAAAGACAAAGAATTTACCGAAGAAGATAACAAAATAAGGATTTAAATCAAAGGAATATTGACAAGAAGAACATAAGTTATGACTCTGATATGTCTTTGTATCAAGAATACCTTCACTTATTGCTGATCAAGACCAGTGATAAGTACATCAGAGACCGTTATCAGTCCTATATCAACAAGATCAACATGGGAAAGCAGAAGAAGCAGTCCTTCTTCCAGAGAATGGAGAAGGACATCATTGTTCGTGAAGAGAACAAGAAGGAAATTGCAGATAACATGACTGTTTCCAGTAAAAGTATCCTCTCGAAAGGAATTCAAAGATCAGCCACTAAACGTAAAACCATGTTTTTCCGGAACACAACTAAGATTATCGAAGACAGTGATAGCTGATAACAAACAAATTTTGAACTCTATTTCGACCAATGATAACACTTAAAATTCTTAGGTAAAATCTGAGGTTTTGGGGTTTTGGGGTTTTGGGGTTTTGGGG